CTCCTGGGCTCAGGCAATTCTCCTGCCTCAGCCTCCTGAGTAGCTGGGATTACAGGCACGCACCACCATGCCCAGCTCATTTTTTGTATTTTTAGTAGAGACGGGGTTTCACCATGTTGACCAGTTTGGTCTCGATCTCTTGACCTCGTGATCCACCCGCCTCGGCCTCCCAAAGTGCTGGGATTACAGGCTTGAGCCACCGCGCCCAGCTACAGATGATTTGTTTAGCGTTAAAATAGCAAAAGAATCAGGAAGATGTTCATGCCTCTGATGAACTTGCAGTCTGTTGCAGAGATAAAAGTTTGGTTGATTAAAGATAGTTACTAATGTTTTAGCACATGTAAATGATATAAAGATAATTAATATAAAAGTGCTAAGGAGAACAAAGAAAAACAGGAATCAGAATGAAATGGGATGAAAGATTTTCTGAGTGGGAGGGAGAAATTTTAAGGTAGTAAACGTGTGTGTGTGTGTGTGTGTGTGTGTGTGTGTGTGTGTGTGTTTTAAGACAGTCTCATTTTGTCACGTAGGCTAAAGTGCAGCAGTGCAATCACAGCTCACTACAGCTTCGAATTACTGGGCCTGTGTGATCCTCCTGCCTCAACCTCCCAAGTAGCTAGGACTACAGGTGCACACCACCATGTCTGGCTAATTTTTAATTTTTTTTAAAGACAGGGTTTCATTATGTGCCCAGGCTGGTCTTGAACTCCTGGCCTTTTGTGATCCTCATGCCTCAGACTCCCAAAGTGTTGAGACTATAGGTGTGAGCCACTGCACCTGGCCAACTTGTGATTTTGAGGCTGTATTAATCATTCTTATACATCACTAAGCTAGTTTTTAGCCACACTTTGATCTGTTTTCAGAAACAAGTATAGATTCTCCTATTTCTGAATTAAGAATCAAGAAATTAAGAATTTACTATGTTATTCATCTTGTGACTATGAAAAAATCACATCCATGTTGCTTACCACATCAAACAGAATTGAATTAATTGTGCCTGTTTTTTACTTTGTGTCACCTAGAAGGTGTTGGTTGTGCTATTGCAAATGTTGCAGTTAATGTTTTGGTTAGATACTATATCAATGCTCTGATGATATAGATATAGCATGAATGTGATGAATAAGCATGGTTTTCTCACTAAATACATTTGATGATATGTATATTTACTTATTGTTACTTATGTGTATGTTTAAAGAACAAAGACTACAAATGCCTCATGGAGAAACTGACCAATCTAGAAGGAATATACAACTCTGAGACTGAGAAACTACGAAGTGACTTAGAACGTCTTCAACTAAGTGAAGAGGAAGCGAAAGTTGCCACTGGGCGGGTCCTTAGTCTGCAGGAGGAAATTGCCAAGCTCCGGAAAGACCTGGAGCAAACTCGTTCAGAGAAAAAATACATTGAAGAACATGCAGATAGGTACAAACAAGAAACAGAGCAGGTAGGAATAATGTCCATATCCCCTATGTACTCTGTATACAGAGGAAATGTGCTATCATCATGACTTGGTCCATGTGACTCACTGTTGGTTTTATTAGAAATGCAGTACAAAGTTTAGTTGAATCACTGTTCATTATTACTATTTCCCAAGTGTTTATTTCACTTTATCAGTGGTAGGTTGTAGGTCTTTTAGTAGAACTTTTTACTCTAATAAGAGCAGAGGCAAAGCGGTATTTTAAGGAGAATGGCCAAGCACCTACTAACCCTTGTTTTTTTTTTAAAAAAAAAAAACTAAAAAAAAACATCGGTCTGGGGCATAGACTCCTTTTTCTTCAGTAGGGTTAATGTGATTAACCCATTTATACCTGAGGTTGCAAGTTTTTGAATTGCAAAATCAGAGTTTGGTGATGACCCTGAGCACGAGGATATAAATAACTCCCACATGCTGAGTGATCCAGTAGTGGAACACTAAGCATAATTGATGTTTAGCACCTAATGGTAGGGATCCTGTGGAAGCCTGCATTAAGGCTCTGTTAAGAAGTCCAAGCAGAAGAAATCTAAATGTCTGCTGTGATTGCAGCCAACAGCTTTATGCAGATGGAACTCTCCCCACAAAATGCTTACAGAGTGACCAGTGCTTGTATGCTACAAATTTGTATTAACTTATATCAAAACTTTATTAAGTATAGAAGACATTAAGATTGTCAAGCTGACCGGGCGCGGTGGCTCACGCCTGTAATCCCAGCACTTTGGGAGGCCGAGGCGGGTGGATCACGAGGTCAAGAGATCGAGACCAAACTGGTCAACATGGTGAAACCCCGTCTCTACTAAAAATACAAAAAATTAGCTGGGCATGGCGGTGCGTGCCTGTAATCCCAGCGACTCAGGAGGCTGAGGCAGGAGAATTGCCTGAACCCGGGAGGCGGAGGTTGCGGTGAGCCGAGATCGCGCCATTGCACTCCAGCCTGGGTAACAAGAGCAAAACTCCGTATCAAAAAAAAAAAAAAGATTGTCAAGCAGTAATGAGATGTACTACTGAAACATTTAAAAAGTACCTCAACATTAGGCTTCTTGGAAAAAGTAATTGATTTTCACAGATTCCACTGGTATTACCATCTTTAAATGAAAAGAGTTGCCTGTGTCAGCTGTAACTGCTGGCAAGAATCCTGATAGGCTCTGTCTGTACTGACTTCTAAATGTTAAAGCAGCATATGCAGTGAGAACCACAGCAGGAACTTAGATGCAGATCGGTTAGGGTAGGGTGGCTGGTAAAATTGCAGCACTTCATGGCGTTACAGGTCCTAATAAAGTAATTCCTCTTATATCTCTAGAGAATCTGTACTCTATATATAGAAACAGGAGTGCCAAAAGGTGAGATTCTTTTCTTTTTTATGTAATGTTTTTGATATGGCAAGCTTGTTCTCTCAGAATTCAGACATGCACTCAAATCTTGAATGTTTAAGATCTCTTTTCTTCCTTCAAGTCTCCCAAGTCCACAGAAGCTTTCCAGCTTCAGATTCCTCAGAATCTGTACAGTATTTAAGTGTGGTGGGAAGATTCTCTTTTCCTCTTCAAAGCCAAATTCTTGCCTTTCTAGTCTGATAGAATAAACATACAAGCAGATTCAGATTTCTCTTTTCATTTCATTTTCTCCTACTTTTCACAGAGATAACTGTAGGCACTACCATTAGTTTACACGGTGTTTCCCAGGCTGGTCTTGAACTCCTAGCCTCAAGCTATTCTCCCACATTGGCCTCACAAGGTGCTAGGATTACAGGTGTGAGCCACTGCACCCAGCTACATTAGTTATTTTGATGGAATGTAGTTGTAGGGGAAGAATGAAAACATTTCACTGTGACAGTCAGCTTCAAGGTCAGGAAAATGACATTCTTAGCTTGATTAAGGAGCCCAGAAGTTACAGTAGAGCTATGTATGGTTATTAACCAAGAGCATGTATCAAAACTGCTGGGAAGTTTTTGTATAAAAAGGGAACTATCCAAGTTCTGGTAGTGTGGGCTAGACACATTATTTTGAAAAAGCACCATAGGTGATTGCTTGTGCACCCCTAGAGGAAGAACCTCTCCTGAAAGCCCACAGAGAGCTGGGGCTTTTTTACCAAGAGTGGATGTTAAGGCAAGATCAGTGCAGAGCTAACAGACTGAGCCCTCGGAAGGGACCCCTTCTGGACTGATGTCTGCTGTGAGTGGCACAGTGTAGTTATCCAACTTTCCTGCCCTCCAGAGCCCTCTTTTCCTGTCCTGAACCCCGTGACATGACGAGAGACGTGCCTGCCACCTTTCTCTCTATTATTAAAGCTCTTGTTTTGAGAGTTCCCTAAACTTTGGCTTAGAAAAAGGAATTCAGATTTTACTCATCACAAGCACACATTTTATTCCAAAGATGAACTGAGTAAATTACGTACTTGGCAAAATTACCTTTGGTTTTTATTTTTCCTTCCTGGGAATTCTTATCCAGCAAAGATCTAGAAAGTTAAGAGTCAACTTGTGTGTGTGTGTGTGTGTGTGTGTGTGTGTGTGTGTTAAAATACACGTGACATAAAATTTACCATTTTCACCATTTTTAAGTAGAGAGTTCTGTGGCATTAAGTATATTGACATTGTTGTAATTGTAATGCTTATTTAAACATGGAATTAAAGGACAAGTTCTCAGCCTTGTAAAACTCTTAAAGGGAAATAAAAGAGAAATTTTCTTTCTTGGGACAGATATCAGGAAGAATCAAAAGGTCTTCAGTGAATTTCCCAAACTAAAACATCCTCGTATCCTTCTTAACCTCCTTAATCTCTCCACTTGAATCATGGATACACATAAGCTTTGTGTTAAAGCATTGAGATGACAAGGTAATATCAATTACCTGTGAGAGCAAATGCTTACTAAGTGCCAGGCAATTTTTTAACGTTTAAGTAAAAAAACACTACTATCCCGATCCTTCAAGAATTTCTACTCTGTTCTGGAAAAGAGGAAAGTAAATCATTTATAATGGATATCAAGAGCATATACAGGGTCTTGTAGTAGCACAGGGAAAAAACAGCTAATGGAAGGGGGTTTCAGGAAGGCTCGTGGGAGGGGTAATGCTTGAGCAAGTTTGTGAGGTGACTAGACATAACCAGGCAAAGACAGGTAGCATAGAGGTGATAGAAGTAAGGAATGACTGCTTATGGTCCTTATCCTTGATCGTCAGGCTTCCTCGATGTAGGGCTGAGGGCCCCACAGGGTCGTGGGGTGAGCCTTATGCTGTGCTGAGGCGCAGGATCTGAGAAATAAAGAGACAGGACACAGAAGTACAAAGAAAATGCAGTGGGCTCGGGGGGCCACGCCACCTATGAGTGGAGTCAGGCAAGGCCTCGAATGTCCAGAAGCTTAAGTATTTATTGTGTATAGGTTAGGGGGCAGGGCAGTGAGTGAAATCATCTCTAAGGATAGTGACGGGGTCGTGAGCAATAAAACATATGGTCCACCCCCATTAGGTCACCTAGGCCGGGAGGTGGACAGTGCACAGTAAGGGGCCCGTTCCCATGAAGGCAAGGGACATGTGCAGTAAGGGGTCCACCCCATTAGGTCACCGAGGCTTGAAGGTGGGCTGTGTGCAGTGAAGAGGGTGCAGTGTGCAATACTTCTATCTATGGGAAACTACTTCTATGGTAATACTAGTGGAATCTGTGAAAATCGATTTGTTCTTCTAAGAAAATTTATAGGAGGATGCTTTAAGTCACATAGCAGTGACAGAGCTGTCAGGGTTACCGCCACCTTCTGGCAGCTTCCAGTGAGTTCTATGGGAAGATGCTTTTCGAGCAGCATAGTAGCAAGAGCTGACTGGAGCAAGGTCCTACAACCTCCTTTATCAGGAGGAGTGGCTCTTGCCCCAAGCCTGCCATACAGCGAGTATCTTCACGATACTGAACACTGCCGCCTGGGCCATGAATTCTTGTCCTGGTATAACTGTTTTTCGCTTAAATCATGCTCTGCACTGTGTCTGCTCTAGGCATTCCTCCAATTATAAGCTGCTTATTCCTTAATTCATGCTCTGTACTGTGTCCACTCTAGGCATTCCTCCGATTATGAACTAAGATATAATTATAGGTATATATGTAGGGAAATATTCTTTAGGCACTCATACTATCAACTATTATATGATTATATATAGAGGATTATATAAAGGGATTCTTCAAGCCCTAATTCTATAAACTAATATATGATTATGTAAAGGATTATATAAAAGGGAATAGCTGAGCAGTAACACTGTAAAGTGAGATATTCCTCAAGCCCTAACTGTACCAGGTTTCTGCTTAGCTCTCATTCCTCGGTGCCTACATGGGGGGTTACCCACATTCTGTCCATTGCAGCCATCTCAGTTTATTGTTTCATTTCATAGCTGGTATCAAATCTGAAGGAAGAAAATACTTTGCTGAAGCAAGAAAAAGAATCCCTCAATCACCGCATTGTGGAGCAGGCTAAAGAGATGACAGGTAAGGTTTATGTGTGTACTGCACGCCAACCAACCTCACACCAAAGTTGTATAAGTTACAATGTTATTTGATGAGTTACAACATTATTTAGAGTTTAAATATTTTTAAAAGTTGAGGCTGTCATCAGCAAATTTATAAAGTTCCAAGACGAAGAGAATTAGTTGGTTGATAAACTTGTAAATCTGGTATCTCTAGGTACAAATGTGAACTCCCGTGCAGTCAGTGTCATATGTAATTTTTTTAAAAAATTTATTTGTTCTGCATGTGTGATGTATTAATTAAGGCTTATAGGATTCCAGTTGATCTAATAAGAATTGTTGAGCTAATATGTGTATATTTATTTGTGTGTTTCTGTATGTCTTTTTTTTTTTCTGAATCAATGGATGCTATTCTAAGATTCACCACTCTGCTACCAAAAAAAAAAAAAAAAAAAAAATTCTAATTTTTAAAATAGAGAACTAACTAGATATGGACATTTATTCTGTTTGCTGTTTGTGGGGTAGGCTAGAATGGTGATAAATTTATAAGGAATCCACATATATATAAATATGGGGTAAGAAGATACAGATCTATACAGTAAATAGTGGTGGAAATGGAAAAGATGGTTTGGAATGGGGATATATGAAAATAATACATTTTCATATACATTCTGTTGATTACATTGATATTCAAAAGAGACAAAAAATGTTCTAAGATTGTATGATGAGGTAGCAAAACAATAATGGTATGTTATTAGTAGTGGGGTTATTGAGAAAAGAGTACAAAGTTATGAGGCAAATTAATGAGGCCAGTTGTTGAAGTGTTAAGTTTGAGATGTCAGCTAAGGTCTCAACATGGAGGTGTTCAGAAAACAAATCCTGATTAAAGACTAGAGAAAGAATAAGAAGGGAGCCTAAAGTTACGCATTAAAACCTGGGTGGTAAGAGAGACTGCCCCACCTCTCCTAGTTGAAGGGGATAATGTAGAGGAAAGAGAAGAAAACCCGGAATTAATGGCCATACTAAGGGATGAGATAAAGAAAAGAAGCCAGAAAACAAATTAAGAGGTGATGTAGAAAACAGCCCTGGAAAGAAGGCTGCTGGGAGGCAGCATGGAACAGAAGGATGCAGAATGATGAGAATCTTCTAGGAAAATATAAAATGTTATTTGAAAGTAGACTGTAAACAAAGAAATGACAATGATTTTGCCAAGGGAAAATTTTTTGGTAGCCTTGGAGCAGCTTCTGCAAACTGGTGAGAATAAAAGGCAACTTGTAGAATGTTTTAGAGAGAAGAAATTATTTCATTCATTCATTTACACATTATTAAAGCCCTGCTCTAGGAAGCACTGTGGTGGGCACCAGGGAAGCAGCTGTGACAAGACACTTGCAGCCCTGGCTTCATGGTGCTCACTGAGAAAGCAGTGGTAAAGCAATGGAAGCAGGCAGGACAGATTAAGATTTAGCTTCCAAATATATGGGTAAAATGGAGCATAGTGGTAGGAAGCTTAATAACGATAAATGTGACTCGTTGGCTGATTGAGTTGAGACATATAGCTGAGATTTGGGGTTTTGTTACTTTGCTTTATCTGCAGCCAGGCGCTAATCTCCAATCTCCAGATCATGGCCTAGCCAAAGGCAAACCACAGCCACAGACGGGGCGGAGGGGGTAGGTAAAATGGAGAAGACAGAGTTTCCTCAGCAGCACATGAGGGCTGACTAAGAAGCACACAGCACAGCTGGCCAAGCCTGAGCATTTTATCTGGTTAGAAGCAGGGGAGTATTAGTACAGCAAGGGAGTCAAAGTCATAGAAAATGTAAGATACAGCCGTGGGATGATATGTGAAGGAAGGCACTATAGAGTAGGACAGTCGGGTCCACTGAAAATTTGCCATTTTCTTGAGAAATATCTCTGACTTTTTGAGAGAGTACGATAATTTGGGTAAAAGAATTTTATGAATAGAATGCTGTTCGAATAAAAATATATATACCTTAGTTACTAGACAATGACTAGTAAAAGTTTTTCAAGGATGTGTTGTAACCAGTGTATCAACTAGTGGGACTAAAGCCAGAATATATGGAATAACTCAGTAGAAGATATTTTAATAAATTATTTCATTTTTTGTTTTCCTACATTTCACTAAGACATTCTTCATGGATCACAGTGGTACTAATTCCTACACAGAAACTGGGAATCAGTATACATGTTTACATAATTGCATTCTCAAAGGGCCATCTTTGGTATGCGTATCCTTTTTTTAATTTCAGAAACTATGGAGAAGAAGTTAGTAGAAGAAACAAAACAACTAGAACTTGACCTTAATGATGAAAGGCTGAGATATCAGAACCTTCTGAATGAGTTCAGTCGCCTAGAAGAACGATATGATGATCTCAAGGAAGAAATGACTCTTATGGTGGTGAGTCAAACACTTTTGCTTTTTTTTTTTTTTTTGAGACGGAGTTTCACTCTTGTTACCCAGGCTGGAGTGCAATGGCACGATCTCGGCTCACCGCAACCTCCGCCTCCTGGGTTCAGGCAATTCTCCTGCCTCAACCTCCTCAGTAGCTGGGATTACAGGCACGCACCACCATGCCCAGCTAATGTTTTGTATTTTTAGTAGAGACGGGGTTTCACCATGTTGACCAGGATGGTCTCGATCTCTTGACCTCGTGATCCACCCACCTCGGCCTCCCAAAGTGCTGGGATTACAGGCGTGAGCCACCACGCCCGGCCCAACTTTTGCTTTTTTTTTAATGAAAAATTTTAAACATATACAAAAGTAAATAGAATAGTAGAATGAACCTCCAACCTTCTGTGTACCTACCACCCAATCCAGAATGTTCAACACATAATCACCTCCCATTCCATCTCCCCAACCCACCCCATCCAATGGATTGGATTATTTTAAAGCAAATCTCAGAAATCATATAATTTTATTCACAAGAATTTCAGTAAAGTCAAACAGTTTAAAGACTGGGCTATGTGATAGTATAAAGTCAGTACAGTTGGGCTTTGTTTTATATATTAATGGCTTTATGTGAAATTTACATGTAGACTGGTTTTGATTATAATTTTGAAGATATATTCCTATGAAAAGAAAATTTGGTCTCCATTTGTAATGAATTACCTTATCTATTTAAGGACTCTTCTGCATTTGCCAATGTACCTTTCATACTTCTAATAATTCTGCACATCCTCCCCATTCCACATATCCCACTATCAGGAAACAAAGAGTTCCCAAGCTCTCTTATTCCCTACAAGTACCAGCCTTAACGGTAACCTAATTATACAAATGACCAGAAATGCTCTGAAATATCTATAAAAAGCAAGATAATTCATTATCTGTGGGGCAGAGTATTTGCTTCTATCTGGACCCACTGACAAAGTACATTACAATATGACACTTAAAAAGTCAAAATAAAAGATTATGTAATACAAAAGATAGCGCCTCATCACCTTGCAGATGAGAAAACCTTGTCTAAAAGAGGCTAGAAAGCTAATATAAATTCCACATTGGACCGTTATTTTAAACCTCACTACTCTGATTTATGTGTGACAAAGAGAAATTAGAAGTAAATGCAAGTGATCATTATAACTGTCCTCATAACTGACAAATCTAAGGACCCTTGTTAAGCTTCATCTTCCATGATCACTATGCTACCTGTGGTCCCATTGAAACCTTTCTTCCTTCACATTCTGTAATTTTCAGTTTTCTCTAGAATCCTTTTCTTCTTTTTCAGTATTCTTGTTCCCCAGTTCCATTCTTCAGTGTATTTTTGTTTGCTCTATTTACTAGACGACCATGCCATTATTTATGGTTAATATCTGTTTCAGTTGTGGTTAGAGCCAAGCTTTATAACCCAGTAGGTGTTTCTGAGACCCCTAGTTATTTGGGATGTTAATAAGTGGCATTGGAAAAGAAATTTTGAGGTAAAATAAATGTGGTAATCTACCAGTTTAAACAGAGATAAACAGATTTTTTTTCTGCAGAATTTCTTGGATTCTTTAGTAGTGCATGCAATATGAATTTTAGAAAATAAATGGGACAAGGAGGTGCCATACGTGTATCCATCTCTGAGCATATTCCAGAGACATACATCTGTGAGGAGGTTATGAGTCTCTTTAGTTGAGGAGGCGGCCATCTCTAGAAAGGCCCTCCAGTGATGGCATCCTCCAGCAGCTTGGCACGGCTCCTCCTTCCTGCTAAGCAAGTCTGTCTGCTCACCATCTGTTCCCAGCAGGCTGTAGGGGTAGGGGTAGTTTTAGCTTCTCAATTTCTTATTTCTCAGTCATATGTCCTCTCCATTGTGTGCCTGTGACTCACTGTCATTCCTCTTGGGAGACAAAATGGTCAGATGAAGGGAAAAGGAGAAAGCAGAGGAAAGGAGATCAGAGCTCGCTTGTTTCCCACTCATGTCTTCACTAGGTTTCATTTCCTAGCTCCAGATATAGTCAAGATCACAATCTCTGCAGAAAATACTTGCCCAGAATTGCAGAGAGTAAAAAACTTGACCTTATAACCCAGGACAATTAAAATATTAATGACAATGTCTTATTTTAATGTTTAGGAAGAACTTTACAGCTAAAAGATGAGTATTTGACTAATATTAGACTGACACTGTTCTGCAAATGGTGCTTTCACTGCTTCAATCCAGAGCCAGTGAAGCATTTGGTTGTAAACAGAGTCCTCAGATGAGTGGAGGAAACTCTAGGGAGGGGACTTGATATACTGCCTTCAGGGCATCCCATAAACTATGTGATACATGGGCCAAAGAACAGTAATAAGCTAATAATGTCACTCATTACCAGCCTCTAGAGTTGTTGGCCCTAGGACAAGAAGTATTGTAGCATTTTTCTCCAAGAACAGCCAGTTGTCCAGGGAATATAGGAGCAGAGGCAATGAGGAAGGACCAATCCAGGGCTAAGTTTCAAGCCAATGATGAAAAGATGATGAGGCATGGGAATCCAGGCTTATAAAGTGTTTAAAGATAAATTAATTCCAGAGAGGGGAAGGAAACCAGCATATCAATAGTGGGGTCATTAGTCTTGGCAAAGGGAGTAAAACTGGTTCTGAAAGAAGGAATCATGGGAGAAATCAGCAGCAGAAGAGGAGGGAGGTGCAGATCTTGAAGGAGAACATGATGATCCAGTCAAACATATATCCTTGTAATTAAAAAACTTGAATGGAGGAACAAAATCCTAAAAACAGACAATTAAAAAGTTACCAACAAGGAAGTTGCTGAATCACTGCAGTGCCCCAGCAATCACAGCAGCAGCTGTTAACATTCATTGAATGCTTGTTATGCCAAGCCAAACTCTTTACTTGCACACTCTTATTTAATCCTCATATAAACCCTATGAGATAGAAATTAGTAACCCTTTTTTCCTGATGATGAAACTGAGGCCTAGAAAAGTTGAGTAAGGGACAAGTAAGTGAAAGAGCTGCTGTTCTTGCCTAGCTCCATCTCATTTCAGACCCAGAACACTTAACCACTGCCCTCTATCCAAAAGTTACATTAAATAGCAAAAAACAGTATTGCTTCCATTAATGCCTTAAGGTATTTCTTGTATAATGGTAGATATATGTGGGAAGACAGGGATCTCTCTCATTTTTAATAAGCTTATTAAAAATCTTTGTCTTGGTGTCTATCTGGACTACCTGTTTTTCTTAGTGACATAACCAGTTTATTAAATAAATGCTACTCATTCAACTGTGGGCTTGGACTGGGAACTTTAAGTAAGAGTGCCTGTGTCTGTAAACAGTGAATCTGAGTGCCTTTGATTTCATATGCACCCCAGCTTCTGGATCATTTCAGAGGTGCTGGTGTTCTTGGGTCTTCCCTTCACACTGGAGTACAGGTTGGGCTGGCCTGGAGACTTTTTTTTTTTTTGAGTTGGAGTTTTGCTCTTGTTGCCCAGGCTGGAGTGCAATGGAGCGATCTCAGCTTACAACAAGCTCCACCTCCCGGGTTCAAGTGATTCTCCTGCCTCAGCCTCCCAAGTAGCTGGGATTATAGGCATGCACCACCACACCCAGCTAATTTTGTATTTTTTTTTTTTTTTAGTAGAGACGGGGTTTCTCCATGTTGGTCAGGCTGGTCTCGAACTCCCGACCTCAGGTGATCTGCCTGCCTTGGCCTCTTAAAGTGCTGGGATTACAAGCGTGAGCCACCACGCCCAGTCTGGCTTGGGAGACTTTTAAGTGCCTCTGGATAAGACTGCTCTCCATGAGCCTGAATGTTGGAAGGGAAGTGAGAAGTTGTTTGTGGCTTCCAGCTCTTTTCCAGCAGCTGGAGAAAGGGACAAAGAAAGCTGGATAGATGAGAAAATTCTCAGAGGCCTTTCTGAAGCCCTCAGGGCCTGTAACACTGTGAGATTAAGGGCCACTGGACCTTTCCACCTTTCCTGCTGGGGACATGCTAAGGGTGAGAGACACAAACCCAGCCTTTAATTCCTTCTTCCTTCAAGTTATTCTCTAACCCCTTCTCCTACAGGAGGGAAGGGATATAGTTGCTAAACTTTTCTATACCCCATGAGCTTTCTGAACACTAATTTCCTAGGTATCACATGACATAAAAATGCCACCCAAGTGCCCTGAGGTAATAACCAAAATCTCTTCAGAGGATTCCTAGAGCAGCTTTCTTACCCCCCTGTACTGTCCATTCTGCCCACTGCCCACTGCTCACTCCAGAGATTTAACTTCACCTATTAAAGTGACGGAAATTAGAGCCACCTATGTGAACTCCTTCATCTTTTCTTTTTAACCATTTATGCCTAATTACCATGCAGTAAAATGATTGTGCATGTCATTTCAATATATCTTAAGAGGTTTTTGGTAAGTTTTATTTGATTGCAACACTAAAGTCAGTGCTTGGAAGCTTCACCCAATGCTTCAACGAGCACTGCTTCACCCAATGTGACTGTTTGCTCAAAGCTTTCAACACCCAAAGGCAACTTGGCTAATAATCACAAGTGATTTTCATTTGGGCATTTGGTTTTGCAACTGTTCTTGTCCATGTCATGCCAGTGTACCTTTTTCTTTTAAGAGGTGACCTTTTTGTAATGATTTGGTCAAAACAGGATGGAAAAGATCACTTGGGCACCAGTATAAGTCAGGGAGTAGGGATAAGAACCAAGTCAAGGTGGATGCTGTCTTAACTATGCCTAGACTAATTATGGTGTATTAATTATACCTGGGTTATTTGCCTTGCAGCATGTGCCTAAGCCTGGACACAAGAGAACAGACTCCACCCACAGCAGCAACGAGTCTGAATATACCTTTAGCTCTGAAATTGCAGAAATGGAAGACATTCCATTGAGGACAGAGGTACAATTTAGACATCTGTCACTGAAAGTAGGATGTGACCATGCTGTTATTAACAGGGAGCATTTCCATTGCAGAGCAGACTCCAATTGGCCATAAACGTAGGATTTGTTTAAATCATTTATTCTTCATAAGTGACTTGTGGATACAAACTTATTTATGTTTTTGTACACATAAGTGCTGTGTACATACATACCCATTGCACATATTTTTTGTCAATACAAATTTTTATTTTTAATGTAATTTTGATGGTGAAATTTTATTTTTATAATTGTCTTTCATACCTAACATGGTGTGTGTACAGAAAATATAGCCTATCAGGAATTTATTTCAGACTGAGGCAAATTATTTTATTTATTATTTATTAATTTTTTATCTATAGACCACCTCTGTAGACAGAGGTGAATTATTTTTAGAGTAAGCCCTTTGTCCTTGAATATTATAAACACCAGTGGCCCAGAGTTCAACAGAACTGCTCTCTCTGTTTTATGCCAGTTTTTAACCAGTGTAACTTTCTTCTATAAAAATGCATGAAAAATGGTTTAGAAATCTGCTTTAATGTTTTGTGTTATGTGATATGAAACCAAAATGATGTATTACTGAAACTCCAAGAGTACAGTGACTTTTAGTTAGATTATTCCCAACCAATTCTGAGATCTTTTAAAATGTGATATAGTTTCAGTAATGGGTAATTCAGGCACAACTGTCCTATTTTTATATCATATTCTTTGAAAATGGCCACATCAGAAATAGGCTGCTTCTGGCAGAATAGCTAGAGAAATTGAATAATTCTTTCCTTTCTTGTCTTAGTTCTACTTAAGAATGACATTTCTGTCATCTTATTCTGTTAATTTTGAAGAAAAATGTTATATAGTTGAAATGTTGTATCATTGGAACCAAACATGCAAGAAGGCGAAGTAGTTTGTCCAGGTTCACAGCTTATAAATGTCAGATCCAGTATTCTAACTGAGGCTTATCTCTTCGGAGTTCATGTTCTTAAGCCATTATATTCTATTGACTTCCATCCAGGGATTCTACACTGTAAGTCTCCAATCGCTTTTCTGTCTACAGCTAACATTGGCTAGGGCCCATGGATATGACAGTATGGCCAGTATATAGCAGGATATTTTCATTTGGGCATTTGGTTTTGCAACTGTTCTTGTCCATGTCATGCCAGTGTACCGTTTTCTTTTAAGAGGTAACCTTTTTGTAATGATTTGGTCAAAACAGTATGGAACAGATCACTTGGGCACCAGTATAAGTCAGGGAGTAGGGATAAGAACTAAATCAAGGTGGATGGGGTCTTAACTATGCCTAGACTAATTACGGTGTGTTAATTGTACCTGGGTTATTTGCCTTACAGCATGTGCCTAGGCCTGGACACAAAAGAACAGACTCCACCCACAGCAGCGAGTCTGAATTTCCAGTTATCTATTGCTATGCAATCAATGAGCTCAAATTTTAGTGGTCTTTTAAGAACAGTAATTTATTATTACTCATAATTCTGTGGGATTTGACTGGGCAGTTCTTCTGCTTCATGTGGTGGTAGTCGGAGTACCACCACAAGAATGTAGCTGCATTCTTTAGAGTGCTTACTTCTCTTCCTTGGGCCTCTCCAGGTAGCCTCTCTTCAGAAGCAGGTGGGTGGGTTCTAAGAGTGAAAGACTAAAAGATGCCAGGCCTCTTAGAGCTAGGCCCAGAACTGGCCCAGTGTTAGCTGTGCCACATTCGGGTCAAAGAAAATCACAAGGCCAGCCCAGATTCAAGGCAAAGGGAATAGATTCTATCTCTTATTAGGAGGAAAGACATGTATGTTGAGAAGAATCATTGGTGCCATCTTTAGAGAATACCACAAAGTTAGACTTAGAAGATTTCAAAATTAGGACTTCTGAGACTTCAGTAGATAGGAAGATTTTAGGATTACATCCTGTTCATCTCAGTGGGAGTAGTCACTTGCAGTAGTTGGAGGGAAGTACATTTACAAACTGCCCATTCCAGTGTAGTACCACTTTAGCAGCTCCTGCTGGTAGGGGGAAGCCATGATAAAAAGGGTGTGCTTGCTGGAAACCAGTCTGTAGCTCTCTGGAGAATTCACCTGCCAGCCCCTCTTGTTTTGCAGCCCTCCCATGCTTGTAGATATTCATGGGCTGGGTTTACTTTGCTTTGGAACCAGTGCTTCTGCTTGGCGTGCACCTCTTCTAGGAGCTGTTGACTGATAATCCCCGTTCTCCTTCTGCTCTGGAGCTTTCTCACACCTTTTACATCTGGGGAATGGTCACCAGAACTTTCTCAGCTATCATTAGGAGTTATTTAAGAATGACTGCCAGGCTTGTAGTGGTGGTAATTTTGTGTGTAAATTCAGTTATCTTGATTTTCCTCAGATGAGAGACTAGTGTTATTTTTTAGGTAAGTTAAAAAGTTTCACTCTCTTAGAAAAGCCTTGGTGACAAAGTCCTTACTAAGGCAAGAAAGCGAAACAAAACCTCGGAAACATCTCTGTGACAGCCCAATCTACCTCCTTGCTCATAGGGTATAGCGAGGACCTCTCTTTAATTAGATAGTATCTCTTTAATTAGATGTGTCATCAGGGCTCAGAATGGGCACCATCGGGAGCACTCTTAAATAATCACCAATCTTTATGCCTCAAGTCATTTTGCATTTTTCAAATGTAATCTTTTGTGATCATCCATCTTCTATTTTAATATTCTTGTCCACAGAATTTTGCTCTTGTCTAGCAATCAACTAGTAGTTTATGTAGTATTAGCCAATGTCTAAAGAGTTACCCCATCCCATTTTTTCTTTTTTTTTTCTTTTTGCTACTTCTAGTTGTTAAAACACCATCCCATTTTAATAAGAGGATTTCTTTTAAACAAAAATGTCCATTCAAGGCTCAAAGGAATGATTTCCAAATGATATTTTAGGTATAATAAATGAAGTATTATATTCATTTCTAGAATGAAAGGTTCTGTGACAGTGTAAGAAAATATTAAATAATTTAAAATTTCAGGGACATACATGTACATCGTTAATAAATGAACAAACATTAAAATATATAAGATTGAATATTTAAATTGTTAAATAAGCTTCAATGTAAATATTTTGTGCTTAATTTTATGGGGGATGCATAGAAAAGAATTTTTATACGAATGAAATTCTGTAGTGATTTCATGTTTAGCAAGATGTTATATCTGTTCTTCTAAGTCAAGACAGACTTTATTATAAAGATATACAGCTAAACTTTTTCCAATTGTTGAGTATTACAAAGTAGGCAGAAAGAAAAAAGTTCAGCTGTAATTAATTTGTGGACAGATGACTTTGACAGCCTATAAATGCCTATTTCTCGGTTAAATTGATTCTTCTCAGATCATTTTTAGAATTGGAATAACACTTAACTCAGCACTGCTCTGAATTCACAAAAGACCAAAGGTAGTTAATGAATATAAAATTCCTGAGAATAAAAATTATTCAGTCTCATCAAAAGTCAAAGGTGGCCAGGCGCCGTGTCTCACACCTGTAATCCCAGCACTTTGTATGGCCAAGGTGAGTGGATCACCTGAGGTCAAGAGTTCAAGACCAGCCCAGCCAACATGGTGAAACCGCGTCTCTACTAAAAATACAAAAAATTAGCCGGGAGTGGTAGCACATGCTTGTAATCCCAACTACTCAGGAGGCTGAGGCAGGAGAATTGCTTGAATCTGGGAGGCAGAGGTTGCAGTGAGCCAAGATCATGTATTGCATGCCAGCCTGGACAACAAGAGCAAAAGTCTGTCTAAAAAAAAAGTCAGATAAAAGCAAATTAATGACACAGTGCCACTTTTGGTCTATAAACAGCTAAATTTTTTAAAAAATTAATCACTGCTGTTCAAGGTAAGGTGGTGGATGCTGATAGAAGTGTAAATTGGCCTAATTTAATGGGCTTTAAGAAGTTACTGTTTAGATATTTATGTACTAGGGTGTGTATTTTCGTAATATTCCAATAGCAAAAAATTAGAAACAACTTCAACATCCATCTGTAAAGTAATAGCTAAGCAAATGGTAACATGCCTGTCTTTATATTTAAATATATTATAAATTTGGGAAACAATGCAATACCAAGTTTGAAAGATCATATGAAATTATAATGACAATATTATTCTAGTTATTTAAATCTATAGATGCATCAAAAAAAAAGACTAAGAAAAAATTATAGTTTTTCTGTGGAGATAGGATTATGCCTGTATTTTTCTTCTTTGAACTTTTCTTGTTTTCTAAATTTTCTACAAAAGCTTATTCTGCTGTCATATCACAAAAGCAAAAGTAAACATTCTCTTTTGAAACAATTGGGTAGATTTGCAATTATTTAAGAATTATACTTTGACGATTTAGTTAAATAGATGATTATTGCTATTCTCTCGCTTCTCCATCCCCACTTCTCTCTCTTTAACAAAGGGACTCTTTATTGTCTACATTAATTCTAATAATACAATTATTTCTCTTCTAATAGTACAATTATTCTCTTCTCTTTGTAAAAAGAGAATAATTGTACTATTAGAATTAATAGTACAAAATTAAAGTACAGTAGTACAAAATTAATAGTACAAAATTAAAGCCTTAAGTAAACATGTTAAAACAAATAGTACAAAATTAAAGCCTTAAGTAAACATGTTAAAACAATTATGGCACCCACAACTTCCATGATGATGGTTAGTTGTTTCCATTTTTTTTTTTTTTTTTTTTGCTTTAATTAGTGTACCTTTATTTATCCTAGTAGTTCTCACTGTGATTCTGTTTTGGAACCAATTGACACACTTTTAAAATGTTATTAGGTTATCCTTCAGTTTATTAAGGACTATACAGGCTCCCCTCCATTTCTGCAGGGGATTGGTTTGTGAATACCAAAATCTAAGGAAGCTCAAATCTCTTATATAAAATGCAGTAGTATTTACGTATAACCTATGCACATTCTTCCATATTCTTTAAATCATCTCTACATTACCTATAATACCTAAGACAATATAAATGCTATATAAATAGTTGTTATACTGTATTGTTTTTTATTTGTAATAAAAGGCCAAGACCCATCTGCAGAGCCATGGCTGAGCTTTATGTCCATTTCAGCAGTCTCTTCTTAGTGGAGACACAGCCCAGCCTAACCAAGCAGTGTTTTGTTAAAGTAGTGAGGGCTAACCTCTCTTCACTGTTTTCTGTAGAGGGAGTAAATATTCTAACAGTAAAAATGTGGCAGTCATTTTCATTTTTATTGTTTTTGGAGTTTTTTTGGAATATTTTTGCTCCACAGTTGGTTGAATCTGAGAGGGTGTGGAACCCACAGATACAGAAGCCATGGATATGGACGGCTGACTGTATATGTTTTGGTTTTTCAGATTTCAGTTTTCTCTGTGTGATCTCAATATATTTATGCTGGCATTTCATATTCTCAAAAATAATTCTTCCTGATTCCAAATGTATTACCTGCCCATTGTAAACAATTTAAATATAGGAGTGTGCAATGTAAAAAATGAAACTTTCCCATAGGACCTCCCATTCTCTGAGATAACCATTGATAGCCTTGCAAATTTTTATATGCTGTGCTAGGTATACATTTAAAAGTCACATATATTTGTGTTTTATTAACAAAAACAAGATATATTTAATATATTTTCTGTCCTGCAGTTTGTGTGTTCATGTAATACTTTAAGACATGTTTATCTGCTCATGTTGATATACTTCATTCTTTTTTTTTTTTTTTTTTTGAGACAAGAGTCTTGCTCTTCTGCTGCTGGAGTGCAGTGACACAATCTCGGCTCAATGCAACCTGTACCTCCCAAGTTCAAGCGATTCCCCTACCTCAGCCTCCTGAGCAGCTAGGGTTACAGGCATGTGCCACCACGCCCAGCTAATTTTTATATTTTTAGTAGGGACAGGGTTTTACCATGTTGATCAGGCTGGTGTCAAACTCCTGACCTTGTGATCCGCCTGCCTTGGCCTCCCAAAGTGCTGGGATTACTTTGGTGCAAGGTGTAAGCCACTACAACAGGCCTACTTCATTCTTTTTAATAGCTAAAAAAATATTTCACAGTTTGGCTATACCATAATTTATTTAAGCAACTGTTCTATTGACCGACATTCAGATTCTTGCCCGTTTTTTTTTTGCAAGGACAAACAAACGAACAAAATGCTGCAATGAACATCTTTTTCCATATTTTTCATATATTTGTGTAAGTGTTTCTATAGGATTAATTCCTAAATATAGATTTGCTAGGTATACGTACGCACATTTAAATTTTAGTAAGTTCAACAAAATTGCCCTTTTCAAAGGTCTACTTTTACTTCCACCAATATCATATGAGACACCGTGGCTAACACAGCATCATGAATCTTTTCAGTGTTTGCCATTCTGATAGAGGAAAAGTAGTAGCTCACTGTTGTTTAATTTGCATTTCTCCCATTGTTAGCTCGGTTGAGCATTTTAAAAATATATTCTCTAGATGTTTATATTTCTTATTCTGTAAGTTTGCCTATTTTTCCATTGAACTATTTGTCGTTTTCTCATTGGCTTGTATGTCTTCTGGCTTGTCTTGACCATCTTGTGATTCCTGGGGTTTAGGAGCCAACTGAGAAGAAGGTGCCTCTGGACATGTCATTGTTCCTTAAGCTCCAGAAGCGGGTCACAGAGCTGGAGCAGGAGAAGCAGGTGATGCAGGATGAGCTGGACCGCAAGGAGGAGCAGGTGCTCCGCAGCAAAGCCAAGGTGCGCAGCACAGCCCATCCGCAGAACTGAGGCCGGCTTTATGTCCATTTCAGCAGTCTCTTCCTTAGTGGGGACTCAACCCAGGCTATCTGAGCAGTACTTGGTTAAAGTAGTGAGGGCTAAACTCTCTCCATTGTTTTTTGTAGAGCAAGTAAATATTTTAAGAGTAAAAATGTGACAATTAAAATATAAAACTTTTACTTTAAATTTTCACTAGGAAGAAGAAAGACCACAAATTAGAGGTGCGGAACTGGAATATGAGTCACTCAAGGTAATGGGAAGTTTCTGCTCAAGACTTCCTATATTTTATTTTGGCAAGAGGCCCACTCAGAGCCTCTCTTTTTCTCAGAGAACATCCTTAAGGGCTGGAGGTTGCACCAGAGGTCCTAGCTTCAGCCTTATTCAGCGTTATTTCTTCTGTTCTTTTTATAAATTCTATTCATATAAGTGAGACTTTAGTCTAAACAGGAAGAGAAGTAGCTGCCGTTCGAGGCTGTGGAAGTAAAGGACGTGAACTCTAGCATCAAGTGCCCTGGGTTCAGATGTTACATCTGCCACTATAAAAATCTGATTGGGTGTGATGGGGCAGACCAGACATAGCAGTAGGAATATGGTCTCCAGATCTTGTCCTGCCTCACACAAAAATGAATGAATAAAAACATTCTCTGTAGTATGAATGAAGCCCAGATTCACAAAGTATTAGATTAGTGACTCTCAAAATGTGGTCCCTGGACCAGCAGCATCAATGTCAGCTAGTAACTTGTTGGAAATACAGATTTTCAGGCCTCACAGTACTATATCTATTGAATCAGAATATCAGAGGGTAGGGCCCAGCAATCTGTGTTTGAACAAGACCTCTCGGTGATTCTGATACACAGTAAATTTGGGAAACATTTGTAGTTTACACATCAAAGTAATAACATGTATGTGTCTTCTATTACAGAAATGAGCGATAAGAATCTGATTGCCAGTTGGAGACAGGGAAGAGAAGGAACATTCATTTTCGCAAAAAAATAATTTATGAAAGAAAGCGTTATATATTCTTAAACTAGAAAAAAGAAGGACTTTAAATAATTTTAATATAACACATTGAAAGGACTGATATGGTGCTACAAACCTTAAGATTTTGTCTCTGGGAAGAAACAAATAAAATATTTAATGTTTATACACAAGTGTTGCAGTATCATCAGGCTTTGCATCTTGTGCTAAATGAGGCAGCATGGTCTTTTTAAGTGCCTGTCTACATCTGTCTTGTGACACTTGTGTTCTAGTGTCAGTGCCACTCTATTCTGGGTTCCAATTGCCATTGTTTGGACAGAGCATGGAGTGAGCGGCACTAACTGGTAGCAGGGTCTAGCTGTTAGGACATGAAATACGGGGGCGATGAGAATGTACATATCCTTCTGTATGGCTGGAGAAAGGCCTTCAGCCTCGCCTCCCACCTCCCAAGGCTCTCCCAATGTCACAAGCATGTCACACAGAAAAGAAATTTGAAAAATACACTATTTGTTGACATTGAGACACTAAAGGTAGTTTTATTCATTTGAATGATATGGTAAATTTTTTAAATTAGAAGTTAAAAGCCTAAAATTTCAATAGTCTTTACATTCTGCTTTATAAAGGAAATAAGAGGAAACTACTAAAGATTTTAGGGATCCACCCATCTGAATAATTCATTGGAAATATCCTGGCCAGCTGGACGCTCAGATTTCCCTTATATTTATCTGCAAACAAAAGGTGGGCTCCATAGCACAGGTTAAACTTGCCCCTTGAGACTCAGAAATCTCTCCAGGCCAGTGAATACACCCTGGGCAGGCCAGAATACATTTGACTCTGGAATTTGGGTTGATGAAGCAAATTTCCATTGACCTTACTCAATTCTACTTGATGTCAGACTTCCTTAATTTGTAGAACAGAGCTCTGGCAGAACCTAGGAAGCCATTCACTAGGGTAGCTCTGATGAACTTTTCCAGCAGAATTCTTTTACCAGCTTGGGGGAATTTTGAGCATCCAATGTAAAGTTGAGGATGACAGCGATGAACTTTTCTTCATATTTCCTACAGCGTCAAGAACTAGAATCAGAAAACAAAAAACTGAAGAATGAGCTAAATGAGTTGCGCAAGGCCCTCAGTGAGAAAAGTGCCCCAGAGGTGACTGCCCCAGGTGCACCTGCCTACCGTGTCCTCATGGAACAGCTGACCTCTGTGAGCGAGGAGCTTGATGTTCGCAAGGAGGAAGTCCTCATCTTAAGGTCTCAGCTGGTGAGCCAGAAAGAGGCCATCCAACCCAAGGTAAGCACTAGCACACAGCTAAACTGGGTGTTCGGGGACTGGCCTCGATGTCTTCTTATCCTTTCCCTCCAGTTTATAATGCAGCAAACACTTAAGAGCATTTTTAATCTAATTGAGGATTCATCATTAAAAAAGAAAATCCCAGTATTGTTTAAAACTGTTTTAAGTATAAATTGGAATGAGCAAAAAGTGAGAGGAATCCCAAATGATCATCAAAGTTTCATCTCTCACTCATGAGTTTTAAAATTAGTCTTTCTGTAGTAATCTGGCCACAGTAAATTTTGATCTAAAATAAAATTTTACTAAATACAAAAATATCTGAATTGTTTTACTGTGGGAAGGCATTAAATGCAACTTTAAAATTATTTGTTGAAAATAGCTGGTTTAATTAGAGAAGTAACAGAAGAAGTGGTTAGAAGTGAGATCAGTGAATGGAAGTTATGTGGACATGATTTCTGCTCGCTTAAAACAGCTCTGTTTAGTAGGGGGTGCTGTCCCAGTGGGAGGGGCTGTTCAGGGATTCAACAGCAAGGACTCCTGCACTGAGGATATAGACAGTCCTTTGAAGTCCTTCCCTGCCTTCATTTGAAACCCAATGCTGCCATATTCTGGTGAGAGATGAGCCTTTCTGTCATTTACCATCAGAAGGAATCTGATCACCTTGAAAACCTGGTCTGCCTCCCTGCCCATGTGAATGCAGCAGAGCATCACAGGACTTGAGGCAATCAAGCATCCCAACTGTGTGGTGTGTCATATAAAAAATATCCATGATGTATAATGAGCTAGATGCCTGAAAAACTGAGATTGCCCCTCTTAGAAATGGTATTTCTGCATGCAGTTTAGATACCATATCTGGCACATATGTTTGGATTTGATGAAGGCGGCTCATACCTGAGATTAATACTGGTCCAGAAAATATCAAATTCTAAAAACAAGATATTTGACTAAATAATTTGGGGGAATAAAATTCCAGTAATAGAGGAGTTATATAAAGAAATGGGCTTCCTTATTTTGAAACAAATCACAAAACCCTTAAGCCAGAAATGAGAAGAACCCTCATTTTGGCTTGGCCGTATAGGTCACAGCTTCCCCCAGGGCTGTCTCAGTTGGTTCCCTTGGCTACCACTGTGGCGGGGCCTCAAGAAACAAGGCTTGCAGTCTACCTTGAGCAGAGTCCAAAATCAAGATTCCTTTCTCTAGTTCTCTTGAGACAAGTTATTATTCTTTCTAAAAAGAATTTAATTGACAAATAATAATTGTACATATTTATGGGGTTGCAATGTGGTAATCTCACAAGAAACGTTAGTAAAAATCAAGAAAAAGGAAAAGAAAAATGAAGCAAAAGACATAAAAGCAATCCAGCTAACAGAGCACATAGTTCTGCTATCACACACTCTCCCTTGCCCAGCTCACGTACTCCATGTGACAGCTGCTCTCCTGACCCTAATGGATGGCCCTGTCCAACTAAGGTACCTGCTTGCTCAACTCGAGCCTAAATGTGGCAGCACTCATGTCCTCTCCTAGGAGAAATGCCCATGACACTGATTAACATCTTCCAGACTCCCTAGGCTGTTTGTCCCTTTTAGTTTCTATTCCAAGAGACACATCATGTCACCATTCCATTTCAGGGCAGTGGTGAGCAACACCCTGTGAGCTAGGGGATGAATGAGCCCAGACAGGTCTTGTGTATTGGCTCCACCTTTAGAGTATTCTGGGAATCTTTCCTTGGACAAATGACTTCCTGGGATGGGGGACATAACTTTAACTCCACAGACCTATGATAAGAATTTCACCCACATGTATTAACAGGAGGGTTATTCTCTCACAAACTCAAAGATAATTTTGTAACCAGAAAAGTCAAAACAATTTAAAAAGAATTTCAAGCATTTGTTCCTGTCAGCACATAAATACATGTTAGTGTTCATTTTATGACAGTTCCAGGAGTGTTAATTTATTTACAGAGTTAATTTTAGAGAAACAACTCATGGCTGTTTTTAACTTAGCTTTTATCTATTATGATAGGGACTCATTGAGAAAATTTATTTATGGAACTAAGAGTTTATTGTTTTCTCTGTTTGTTTTTGTGCTTGCTACTTTGTGATTTGCAGGATGACAAGGTAATTATAAGATTTTTTTTTAAGTAAATACTTCTGTTTAATCCTAACTTTAGTTTACAGGTATCCCCCAGTATATGCAATTGATGCTTTCTGACCCAGTCTATTTTGATATTTGTAAATGAATTTCCTATTTGACTCTTTCTGATTGGGAAGTCAGTAGGGAAACAGGGTTATAGTATGCTCCAGTCTGGATTATAGAGGGGACTTCATGACTTCTGATTCATAGGCAGCTCTGTGACTCACTGCGTAGTTCTGATAGGCCGTCCACAGGCTGGGGAGGGAAGCCCTTTAGTTGGAGTACACTCAAAAGCACAGGCTCTCCTGAGGACTCATGTCTACCAGTGGTGGGCTTGTTGGCTAAGGGTGAAGAGGAGCCTGAGAAGCTGAGCACACTGTTCTTTGCTGCTACTTTCATCTCCCTGAGTGTAGAGTTCACAGCTAGAATGAAAAGTGGCTCATGACAAGGTTGCAAAGTCAAATTTCTCTACAATATCTTGTTTCCTTATATACTGAGAGAGATATGGCTGGGATTTTCTCATATAGCACAACACTTTTAGAACTTCTGGTCACAGGTTAAGAGAGACAGAGTCTGAGCACTGAGTCAGGAACATCCTAAATGCTGGTGGCCCAAGTCTAATCCCATTCCCCAAGTGCCACATTTTAGCTAAGGTAGTCAGCATGAGGAAAGAATTGGCGACTTACTGCCCAGGAGAGCAGCATACTAAGAAGCCTATCTTTCCTTGGATTAGCTAATTTGATCAAGTTACCTCATTTGCTAAAAGTTCAAAAGCATACCATGTAAATCTTGAGATATCAGAGTGCACACAGATAGCATTATGTGATATAAACACTTGGGTCTTTGAAAGTTATTACCTATGGGTCTTAAAAATCTGAGTATGGCCCTTTATGAAACAGAAAGATTTTATTCCTTTCAGAGAAAAAGAAGTTCTCTGTAAAATAGGTACTAAAATATTTATAAAACATAGCTAAAAAAACACTCTGTGGTGTTAATGGGAAAGCTTTTTTAAAATTCAGTAAAATGTAAGCTATTTATTAGTATATTATGTGAGATTATAGTTGGTCTTCTCAGAGGAAGCATTTATAAACTTACAAAAGGATAGCATTAAGAGAAAAGTGGTTTTTTTTTTTTAAGGATTTTTAAAATACACATTGAAATTCAGAAACAAGCATTTGTAGTCTCTAGTTGGCATTAGAGTTATCTTGGAACTTGTCTTTATGATCATGGTATTTGAAGTATATTTTATTAAGTATTTGAAGTATATTTTATTAAGTATGTTTCATTGCAAGGCCTGACCTTAATGTATACTAAAGAATCAAACATATACTATTTAGACAAATAGGTGGTCCAAAAGCTTTTGGGTTGAATTTTATATAGAATGTTTCCATTTAGACAAACCACTGGGTTCTGTAGTGTATTATTTTTTAGAAGCTAGACAGCAGTGATTTTTTTTTTTTTAATTTAAGTTCTGAGATACATGGACTGAATGTGCAGGTTTGTTACATAGGTATACATGTGCCATGGTGGTTTGCACAGCAGTGATTCTTATCTCTTACTCTTATCTAGAAAGATAGAGTAGCTGAATAGAAGATTTTGAAATTACATTGGTTGTCAGACATATCTGACTAAAAGGAGAAAATTTTAAAAATTAAAATGACAAAAAGTTATTTTTAATATTAATCATTAATAATTCTGACCTGCCAGATATTTATTTCAAAAGCTTATATATTATAGTATATTATACTGGAGGAAAAAAGAATTGAATGTGAGAAAAAAAACTTAATTTTGCTGAAGCATATCATCTGAATACTACCTTCTTTGTTCTGAGTTCTAAATGAAAAAGTGAACTTTATGTCAAACTTTCAGTGTTTTATTGGGGCATCTGCTTCATTGTAGCTGGTAAAGAAGTAGTGGAAAGAATGGCTTTGTACAGTCCATTAAATATGTCCCTGCTTATTTTTCAGGCACGCACCACCATGCCTGGCTAATTTTTTGTAATTTTAGTAGAGACAGGGTTTCACTATGTTGGCCAGGCCGGTTTCAAACTCCTGACCTTGTGATCTGCCTGCCTTAGCCTTCCAAAGTGCTGGGATTACAGGCGTGAGCCACCATGCCTGGCCCATCAGTGATTTTATTTGCAGGGTTGTGGCACTATATAATCTTCCTACCTTTGTAGGAGAGTGCTAGTGTTTCTCAGAAGAAAAACTGAAGGTACCTCTTTTCCTTAACCACCTTGGCCAAACTCCCCTCTGCCATTACATAAGGTTGGGGCTGATACTTTGGTGGGTCATAGGTGTGGTGGAGCACATAAACCCCCTTGTAATTACACCCAATAAGTGTGTTATATGTCTAAAGCTTTTTTAGTCTAATCTTAATACGTAAACATGTTATTTCCCCCCTCAGAATACAATGACAGATTCCACAATACTTTTGGAAGATGTACAAAAGATGAAAGATAAAGGTGAAATAGCACAAGCATACATTGGTTTGAAAGAAACAAACAGGTAAGTTGATCCTTCTTTTATTCATTTTGGTTTAATTATACTGATCTTTAGCCTTCAAGATAGCCTCTTATACAGTAAGTGTTTAAACATTCCTTTATATTAGACATTAACTGGCTTTCAAAGGGAATCCAAAGTTTCCAGTGTATTTCTAGTTAAGATCCTCACTTATAAGATAGTAGTATTGACAAAAGGTGTCAGGGAAAATGTTCTTCCTGTTAAAGGAAGATTTTTAAAATATTTAATGCTTTAGCTTTAAGGGGCTGCCTTGAGAAGAAAACCACCTGCTCAGGTCATACCATCTTAGGTCGCCACTTTCATTTGTTATTCAGGATTGTTATTTGTGAAGGTTTGTAGGGGCGATTGGAGTTTTTAATAGTTAAAACTTAGAATGAAGAGAAGTGATGAGGTACCAGGAATCACTCAGTGTTGGCCATGTAACTCGAAAACGGCACCATGACTTCTAGGATAGGAGAATGAAAGCTCATATCTGGAATTCCCCTTGGCCTTACTACTACCCTCCTAATCGGCAAAGCCTTAGTCTATTGGTCTAGGTCTCTTGATGGATAGTTTCAGGATTGGTAAACATAAATACTTTATAAACCAAAGAATATTGCCATGCAAAAAGTAAGATGCAGTCGGCCTTCAATATCCAAGGGTTACATATTCGTGGAGTCAACCAATGGAGGATTGAAAATATTTTTTAAATGTTTATTCTTATTATTATTTTTGAAATGGAGTTTCAGTCTTTTGCCCAGGCTGGAGTGAATTGGTGTAATCTCAGCTTGCTGCAACCTCCGACCCCAGGTTCAAGCAATTCTTCTGCCTCAGCCTCCCAAGTAGCTGGGATTATAGGCATCTGCCACCACGCCCGACTAATCTTTGTATTTTTTTTTAGTAGAGTTGGGGTTTTGCCACATTGGCCAGGCTGGTCTCCAACTCCAGACCTCAGGTGATCCACCTGCCTTGGCCTTCCAAAGTGCTAGGATTACAGGTGTGAGCCACTGTGCGTGGCTAACAACTATTTTCAAAGTATTTACATTGTTTTAGGTGTTATAAGTAATCTAGAGATGATTTAAAGTATACAGAGGACATGCATGGTTATATGTAAATAATATGCCATTTTATATAAGGGACTTGAGCATCTGTGGATCTTGCTATCCAAGGGAAGACCTGGCACCCAACCGATATTGAAGGATGACTATACTTCTTATCTTCTTTTATGGACAAGGGTGGAGAATGCTTATAAAAATACTTGGTTAAACTTTAATTTATCAGTGTAAATTATAAGCATATGTTATATCTAAGAATGTGTTAATATAGAAAGAATTATATTGTATCACACTGTTATTTCATCCACTTAGCTATTCAATCACCAGTGTGCCTGCTTCATGCCAGGCCCTGTGCCACATACTGGGAATACAGTAATAAGCAAGATAAATGCGATTCCTACTCTCACCGACATTGTAGGCTGCTGGGGAGACAGCTGAGAGGGTTTGGACTTTATTCCAAAGATAATGGAATCCTCTGAAAGGTGTTAAGTAGGAGAATGGTGTGATGAGATTTGATTTTTAGAAAGCTAGCCCTGTATTCCTGTAACCCAATGATTATCGTGACTTGCAGTTGGCTGGTGGCAGTTAGGATTGACAGAAATGGTATATTTTGAAAGATACATAAGAAGATGAGGTCAGAAAACCGTAAGGTTTATTGGATGTGTGGGAGAGGGACAAAGAAGCCTGAAGATGACTCCGTGGTATCTGCTCTCTTGGTTAGATGTGCTGATACCATTTTGTGATCATGGGACTGGAGTGTGGGGAAATACACGGTGAAGATGATCAGTAGATTTATACATACTGGATTTAAGGAGCCAGGAAAACATCAGAGAAAGATATCTATTAGGCAGTTGAGTGTACTGAGATATAATTTTGAAGTCATCAGAGTATAATAGTACAGTGGAAATCATGTAAATAGATGAATTTTCTAGAGACAGATGAACTCTCTAGATGTAAAGAAGAAGACAATGCCTGGAATTTGTGTGATGTAAACATAATGACAATATAGCAGGAATAAGAATCTGGACTCCAGAGTCAGTGCTAGGATCCACTACTTACCAGCCGTGTAACCTCTACAGGTATCTTACTACTAAGCTCCTATGTCTTCCTCTGCAATGTGGCAAATGACTTATGCTGGCTTACCAGGGAAACTAAATGAAATAGTGCATGTGAAAGAATGTAGAACAGCACCTGACACTGAGCAAATACTCAAAAAATATGATTTTTATAGTCTAGCTAGAAAATAAATGATTACTAACATTATCATAATTACTAATTATACATATTTTAATAACATGTGCTCTATCTCTAATATAATAGCAGTTTTTCCAGTTCCTACAATTAATTTTTGACACAAAAAGCTTTTAAAAATCACGTCATAAAAGCTGAGAACTTTGGACATATTCTGATTCATGTTACTGCTATAAGAATTTTTAAAACTGTTTTTTTAACATGGGAAATTAGATTTTATTAAGCTAAAAACGTTCCTACCTAGAAGACTTAAAATTCATTTTGAAAGATAGCATGAAGATCGCCACACAAAGATAGTAGCTGAAGTTTTCATTCTATACGTTTGTCATAGTTAACCTCTAATATAATATGTGATATATTAGATCACTTTGCTAGCTGATTAAAACATGAAAAACAGAACCTTTTGTTCACCTTCCAGTCATTTCTTATTTTGCAGGAAAAGTAGTTCTATATCCTTGATTATTTTACTTTAATTTCTACCCATTTACATGTGATGCTACTCATTTTTAAATGCTACTCATTTTTAAAAATTAACCAAAAATAATTTTTGTGGTAATGTCTTAAAGTTGTCATAATGAATAACAATCTTTCTTGTGTAATGTTGAAATACTGTGTACTGCTGTTGACCATCGTCACCTCATCACCATCCTGTATCCTTTTGTGTTTTGCATTGTTGTTCCTTTTGCATGGAAGATCATCTGCTCTGGATTGCCATGAGTTGAATGAGGATGGAGAGCTGTGGCTGGTTTATGAAGGGTTAAAACAAGCCAACAGGTTATATTCATCTTCTCAAAATGGAATGTTATTAATTTGTTGTTTTTCTTACTAACAGTGGCCTCCTGACTTTCACTTCTGTATTTCTTGTGCCTTGATTGGCCTCTTGGGTAAATTAATTTCAGTAATTGTGTTATATGTCCAAAGCTTTTTAGTAAAGCTGAGAACATTCAGCCAAACACCTTTTTTTTTTTTTTTTCCCCCTATTTTATACAGCCTTGCTCTGTTACCTAGGCTAGAGTGCAGTGGCATGATCTCAGCTGACTCCAACCTCTGCCTCCCAGGTTCAAGCAGTTTTCCTGCCTCATCCTCCTGAGTAGCTGGGACTACAGGTGTGCACCACCATGCCTGACTAATTTTTTGTATTTTTAGTAGAGATGGGGTTTCACCACGTTGGCCAGGCTGGTCTCAAACTCCTGACCTCAGGTGATCCCCCTACCTCGGCCTCTCCAAGTGCTGGGATTACAGGCATGAGCCACCACACCTGGCTTAAACACCTTCTTTAAAAACCTTCACTACCAGATAGTATTAAAGCTAAATTTGTTTGGTGGTAAATGTAAGAGACTCCCCTTCAGACACTAAAATTTGTGAATCTTTCTCTCCAGGAGTTGAAAGAAAAACAAAATCTTTCAATTAGGGCTTAAACTATTGGGGGAGAGATTAAGGCTTATTACTTAGACAGTGGCTTCTCGAATCCTATAGATAGATCTACAGGATATATGTGCCTATTGCAATGTGGCTACACTTTTTTTTTTAGTCTGTCACCCAGGCTTGAGTGTAATAGCATGACCATGACTTAATTAGCCTTCTCCTCCTGGGCTCAAACAATCCTCCTGCCTTAGCTTCCCAAGTAAGTGGGACCACAGGCATGTGCCACCACACCTAGCTAATTTTTTGATTTTTTGTAGAGACAGGGTCTCACCTCGTTGCCCAGGCTGGTACCAAACTCCTGGGCTCAAACAGTCCGGCCTTGGCCTCCCAAAGTGTTTGGATTACAGGCATGAGGCACTGTATCCAGCCTACATTCTTATATATTATTATCATGCTGTCTAAAAGCAAGATGAAATGCATGATTTGGCACTCTGTGGTTATTATGAAATTCAAATTTGTGAAACAGCAAATCAGGAGAGTTTCCTGCATTCCTATAGCTCAGAATAATTACCCAAATGCAACATGTTAAATATGGTCACGGGAGAGAAAATAAAATTGAAACAGCACCACCTTTCTAAACAGACATTCATCTGCTCTAGTGATATTTGTCTTTAAAATCTCATTAAAATTCCATTTTAGTGATTAAATTTTAAAAATACTCAAAATGTTTCTTCAAGGGGCTTCTGCTTATTCTGCTTTGTTTATTCTTATCATTAACTCTTGTCATTAATTTTGGTGTGTTGCTGGTGCAGATCTTTTTGAAATTTTTTAATCACTAAAATATTTTTAGTCCACTGTTAACAGCTTGCTTACAGTGGTATCCGTAAGTTTTACCCAGAAGTTGGCAACCATGGATCTGGAATAAAAGAATGTCCTTTCTTCACATTATTTTAGTTCTTAACCATAACTTTGCATTTGGAAAAAGAGTGACTGTAGCAACAGGGGAACATGGCAAAGGAAGGATACTCAGAGTCTGGTGTTGTCACTTCCAGTGCCTGGTCTGTTCTGCGGGTACAGCTGGCTGTATGTTTGCTTGGAGAAGGGGTAATCGCTTTGTTGGTCCTATTAATATTTGTGTTCTAAAACCACATCTTGTTAGGATTCTGTTTCTGATATGTAAGTTTATGAGGAGAAAGAAGATGACAGATCTAAAATATATGTAGGAAATTTCAGAACTAATTGTATGGATTTGGGTAAATATGTATATAAGCCTTTCTTTCAGAATAGGAGTAGCATATAAAAATGGGACCCTGGTCCCACCCTCTGCCTGGAATTAGTAACTCTGTAGTTCAGATTCACATTTAGTTAGATTGGAAGTTTGTAATGTTGCCCTTTACAGTGCAGAGTTATTTTGTGGCAAAGTTGTACTACATTTGCCAATTTAAATGCTTATTTATAAATGCAAGGCAGATTAAAGTTGTATCTTTCAATTGATTTTTTTTTTTTTTTTGCATCCTCATTTCCTATGAACCTTTTTTTATTTTTATTTTTTGAAATGGAGTTTCACCCTTGTTACCCAGGCTGGAGTGCAATGGTGTGATCTTGTCTCACTGCAACCTCCCCTTCCTGGGTTCAAGTGATTCTCCTGCCTTAGCCTCCTGAGTAGCTGGGACTACAGGTGCCTGCCACCACACCCAGCTAATTTTTTGCATTTTTAGCAGAGACGGGGTTTCACCATGTTGGCCAGGCTGGTCTTGAACTGCCGACCTCAGGTGATCTGCCCGTCTAACATGCTGGGATTACAGGCGTGAGCCCCCCCACACCTGGCCTCCTATGAACCTTTCAAAAGAATTAAAACTTTCCTGTTTCTTAGGGCCTCTTAGAACTTTATATAATGCAGGAAGACACAAATGTGAGAGCATCCGTTTCTATTTCTGCTTCTTGTTTTAGTTTCTTGACTTTAATCAAGTCTGAAGATACACAGATGCTAAAGAGTGTCTGCTTTTCCTACTCTTGCAAGTGAGCACGATGCCTTACACCCGTTAGGCAGGGACTTGGGGTGTCATCCCCCATCCTACCCATGTGTCCTCTCCTCAGGCTCCTGGAATCCCAGCTCCAGTCACAGAAGAGGAGCCATGAGAATGAGGCCGAGGCCCTCCGTGGGGAGATCCAGAGCCTGAAGGAGGAGAACAACCGACAGCAGCAGCTGCTGGCCCAGAACCTGCAGCTGCCCCCAGAGGCCCGCATTGAGGCCAGCCTGCAGCATGAGATCACCCGGCTGACCAACGAAAACTTGGTAAGGAGAGCTGCCGGGCCAATGTGCTCCTTAGCCTTACCCTGCTCAGCAGCCTAGTTTCTTTTTGATCAAACACAGCTTTTCCTTACTGGGAAAAACTCACCACTCTGTACTTATTACTCCTCATACTCCAGCAGAGACAGAGTAAGGAAAATACAAATATGTTGGTGGAAAGGAAAAAGGCAGGTACACAGGTTCTATTTCTCACAGAGGGCTGAATGCTCTTAGACCTGTCCTGGAGGCAGAGGGCCACCTGGCTGCAGGCTGAGCTTTTGATGGCCTCGAGGTTCACGTGATCTGCTTCCCCCACCTCAGATGCAGATCCCCTGCCATCCTAGGAGATTTACTGTTTGATTGTCACAACTGAGACTGGGGACAGGCTTCCTTTACCTTTGGTCCCCAAGCAGCCACTGAGGCATCCCAGGCTCCAGCTCTAGCAGATAAGTAGTTTTAGAGTTGAAGTTGAGAAAGGTGATTGGCAAAACCAAGCAGGGGTTTTTGGTTGCTGTTGGATGGAGCTCCCAGGTCAGGGAGGTGTGTGTTAGGATTCAGGTTTACATATTTTCTGTTCTTTTCAACAAAACTTGTGCAATAAATGAGGAAATTATTTTCCTTGTCAGAGTCTAAACCCTGGCATG